TGGCTGGAAGTCAGTTCTCATTATGCAGTGCTTCTAGCATGGCTGACAAAAACCCCTTGGCAACCACACTATTTGGATAAAGCTCACTTGTAAACTCTTTGCTATCACATTATTTATACATACTTGTGTGCGTGCATGTGTAACACAGAGTACTTTTCCAAATTCTCCACTTAAGAAAAAGGATCGAGTAGAAGATCGAGTAGAAGATGAGGAATGCCTTGCTCAGTAATTACCAGACATGAAAAGGATCCTGGAATTGTAGAGTCAGCAATGACAAATGACTAAGAAATGAAAAATAAAAAGCAAATGCGATTTTAAACTGCATCAACGGAAGGAGAGTTTCCAAATTCTGGATTAATCAATTCATCTTGACTAGTCTCAGGGACTAGATTTCAGCGACTATTGAGACAAATTCAACCCAGGTCAGAGAAAAGCAGTGGAAACAATCAAAAGACTGGGGAAAACTTTAGGAGCAACTGGATATTGAAGAGAAAGCCTTGAACAGAAAGGAAGAGGGGATTGTGGGACCTTAAAAGAAAAGCAAGGCCGGAAGAAAATTGACTTGTTTGAGTTGTGGTGCTGGAGAAAGCTCCTGCATATTCTTTGGACAGCAAAGGCGACCAACAAGCAAGTACTGGAAGGTTTAACACCAAGCATGAGCCATGGTGGCGCAGTGGTTAGAATGCAGTACTACAGGTTAACTCGGTGCTCACTGCCAGGAGTTCGATCCTGACAGGCTCAAGGCGGAATCAGCCTTCCATCCTTACGAGTTTGATAAAATGAGGACCCGGATTATTGCGGGGCAAGAGGCTGACTCTGTAAATTACTCAGAGAGGGCTGCAAAGCACTAGGAAGCGGTATGTAAGTCTTAAGTGCTATTGCTATGTCACAAGAAGGCAAAATTACAAAACTGTGTCTCATTTACTTTGACCGTGTCATGTGCGGGGCAGGGGGGGTGGGGGAAGGAATTCACTGGAGAAAGCAATCATCTTTGGAAGAGTTAGCATTAAAAGGAAACCAGGCCATTGAAGGATATGGTGATTGGACGCCATCAAAGCTGAGAGCAGCCAGAGCATAGAAAAAAACTCGAAGAAGCAGTGCAAGATGGGAAGATGTGGAGAGATTTGCCCTGTAGAATCGCTGAGAGTCAGACACGACTGAATGGCTAACATTATCCTCATCATCACCAGAGGTGGTATTCAGCAGATTCTGATCAGTCCTGCAGAACCAGTAGCGGAAATTTTGAGTAGTTCGGAGAACTGGCAAATCCCACCTCTGACTGGCCCTGCCAATCCCATCTCTTCTCTGACTCCCAAGTCCCAGCTGATTGGATGGGTCTCCTTTGGTTGCCCTGCACAGAAGAATGGAGCTGGAAAGCAGGTTACTGGGGTGGAGAGGGAATGGGGATTTTGCAGTATCCTTCCCCTGCCACGCCCACCAAGCCACGCCACGCCCACAGAACCGGTAGTAAATTTTTTTGAATCCCACCACTGATCCTCCCCATTCAAATGCTAGAGAGGTTGCCATATAGAAAAAGGTTGAGATTCTGTCTCTACAGAATAAGACACAGAAATAAGTCTGGCAGAATTTTAATAGTAACAGCAGATTGACAGTATAGCCAATTATCTTCCTTTCTCTAGTTCGGGTTTCTCAATAGTCACTACAGAGTGACATTGCAACCAATTATCTTCCTTTTACTACTGCAGCTACTATGCTCAAGTAAAGGCTGAACAGAGACTAGTTGCAGATGCTTTAATTTGGATTTCCTGGAGTGTGCTATGGGCTAGTTTTGACCTAAACGGTCTTTCTCATTTGTGGAATGCTATGATCCTATTTCTCCTCTGGCTGAAAGTGATGAAGCAATGAATTCCATGCTACTTTATGGTTCAGTTTGAGAAGGAAGTCAGGATACAAATGGATAAATGCATTTTTTAAAAAAAAACACCAGGGAAGAACTGAATCTATACCATAACCATGACACACAGTCTGTTAAAAAAAATCTGTAGGGGAAGGATTCCATCTTTTACCTACTATTCTTAAGATCTTCGGTGATACAGCACTCACCAAACACTTTTCACAAGTTGGTAGGAGATGGAAATAATCACGTTCCAAATTGTTAATATGCACTACACATTAAAAGGTACTTCTGGAGGGTTCGGCCAAATTGGCTTCACTCAGCACTTGCATTTCCCACAGTTGCATCAGTGCTTTTGTGGCAACCCAGATGATTTCTTTTGTGTGTGTATTAACACTATTGTTAGCAATGGACACTCTCTCCAGAATGATTAATGCTCATTTGCAAGAAAACAGTATGTACTGTCATCTATTATTCCTTCTGCACAAGTCCGTGGTCTCCATTTTGGATAATTTGAACATTTCATGAATCTTGTTAGAGATTTAAATTGTTTATACATTTTAGGACCCTTCACCATCTCTTTGTCCTTATAACTTTGTACGCGCTTATCCACTTGAAGGAAACACACGCGACAAACAGGATTTGACTGCATGAATGCTCAGTTTGAAGTTGCTAAGCCTTTAAGAAAACCTTTCCCAACTTGGAACCTTCTGGATAAATGGATCAACCTACAGAATTCCCTAGATATTTCTTGGACTTCTATTCCCTAGATATTATGGGAGTTGGAAGTCTGAAGGAATTCAGATTGGGGATGGATAGTTTAAGGCAGGGGTGTCAAACTTGAATTCATTGAGGGTTGTGTTTGACCTCGGGGGAGGAAGGGCAGGGGAGGGCGTGGCCAGCTCAACATCACTCGTGTTGAGGGCACCTGTGGTGGCCCAAGCAAGCACTCTGCCAGCAAAAATGGGCTCCTGAACTCTGTTTTCGGCTGCGGTGACTTCCTGCAACCCTCTGCCAATGAAAATGGAGCCTAGGAGGGCTGTGGATGGCCTCCCAGGCTCTGTTTTTAATGGCAGGGATACTGTGGACCGGTCTTTTGCTGTTTCCAGGACAGCCTCATGGGCCAGGTCTAAGCATCTCGCAGGCCTTGAGTTTGACACCCCCGGTTTAAGGCGTCATAAAGCTCTTGGATTGCGAGCACTTTCTTCAGATCAACAATAGCAACCTACAATGAAGGGTGTCGAAGTTGTGTTTCTTCTCAAGGAAATCTATCCCAACGCTCAACAAGTCAAATCATATGTGATCAGCATTCAAATGGACTGTGTTGCTACTCTGCCTTCCGTGTTGTGTTAGGTCTAGGCACTTTATAGAGGAAAAACACTCTTGTCCAAGGTCACAGTTCTGTTCTGTACATTACTAAGTACAGAAGACATGACACACCGCATTTATAACGTCACCGTTGCTAACATATCATTTTCCTTGACCAAGAAGCCGTCATTTAAAATTCCACTACCCTTAACTGCAAGTAAGATGGAATAATTAAATACCATTAAAAGATAATTAATTTGCATTAAGTAACCTTGAGTATACTCTTAATGTGCTTCATTTGCAAAAGCACTCCCAACTGTTTAACCTCCTTGACTTGCCTTCTTGCAAAGACACTGTTCTCTATGCATTTTTTAAAATACCCTTAATGGTTTGAAAACCCACCAGATTTTCAGATGTTTTGCTACTTAGATTAAATTATATTTTCATCTTAATTCAGATGTTTTGCTACGGATGAGATCCAATTGGTCTTTTTATCTGAATATCCCTGTTCACAAACAGCTAGCATGTTTTGAGAAAGATGAGGTTAACCTGATATCTAACCTCCCTAAGGAACCAAGGCTTCCTAAACCATAATTACGCACACACTTATTTTTAAAAACAAAACCTATTTTATTGCAATGCTGGGAATTGTTTTCATTCCCAGACGGAATTAATCTCAAACAGTCCCCCAAGATAAGCACCCACCTTTCAGTTCTGCGAAGTGCTGCCAAAAACAGAAGTATCAAATGAACAAGAAAAAAACCCAACCGAAGTATGAAGAACTTCAAGGATGACTCTGAACCGATCGAACTACTTTGCTTCCTGCAAAGGTTTCATCATCTTGGCCTGACTTTTATACCTTATGGGAGGGGCAATCACCTCCCAGCCTTACTCCCGAGTCGCCCCTTTTGTTTCAGCTGCTCTTGCCTTCTAGCAGCTCTGCGCAAACGCGCACTGGGAACCCAGATGATCCTGGCGCCATCTCTGCATCGGATGCAGGACCCTCGTCCAAGTCCCCTCCAGACTCCCTGACTGGTCCCCATTCTTCCCCACTGTCCGATTCCACTGCCGTCTGCCGGCAAACCACAACACCCAGTTTTCCTTATGCAGAAGACTTTTGATATGGAATAGAACAGGGATTTCCAATCTTGGGCAACTTTAAGACTTGTGGGCTTCAACTTCCAGAATTCTGGGAGTTGAAGTCCATAAGTCTTAAAGTTGCCAAGGTTGGAGACCCCCGGAATAGAATATGATCTCTCTGCAATGTTCTGGAAGTCAGCACTGCTTCTTCTTAATGTTCTTCTCAACAAAATATTCAAGAAACGGCTCTCTAAAGGTTGACATCATTTTAAGCTTAGCCACTCAAATGCCCAACGCGACTCCATCCTGGGGTAAGCAGCAGAAATCTCAGCTGAATGGCTACGTGAGAACCATGCTTGATGCACCCAAGGGGTCTTTCACCTGAACCAGTGGTGGGATTCAAAAAGTTTTAGCACCAGTTCAGTGGGCGTGGCTTGGTGGGCACACTTTGCATGTGTGCACACATTTTGTGTGTGCACGGCACCAAACACATACTTTGCACAGGCGCAGAGGCGTTCCAACTCACCTCCTGCAAGCTTGCACTCTCCCGGTCGCTTCAGCAACTGCCAGGCCTCACTCTGCTGTGCCGCGCAAAGCAGCTGTGCTTCAAATTCAGAGGATAAAGGTGAGTATGAGAGCCCAGGCGGGCAGGTGGGCCCAACAACAGAGTGGCAGAGAGAACCGGTCCGTCTCCACTGCTCATTGCTGCTACTGGCTCTGCAGAACTGGGCCGAACCGGTAGAATATCACCACTGACCTGAACATGTCACTGGGATAGAGTCACATTCTTCGCCACAGTCCTTCTTATAGTAGCAAAGAAGGCCAATTCACCAAGCAGACGCTATCTCCACACTGGAGTTTTTATTTTCTGCAAGGCAGGAAATTCTTTTCATCTAAAAGAAATAAAAGAAGCGGAGGGTAAGGGAGATTTTTTTTTTTTTAATGGATCGACAGCAAGCAGAGCAATGTGCATAGCAAGGCCCCAGATTTCTTGAGGACTCAAACGTTTGGTTTTAAATGGTATCCAAGAGAAATAAGTAAACAGGTTTCTTCTTCCTTTCTCAGTGGATGGGACCTAATCTAGTCTGGAAGTCAAAACTGAAATTATGTTTATTTAAATGATGTCTATTTCTTTCTCCCATCTCCCCCTTCTTCTCTTTCACTGCTGTATGGAGGTCTGTTAAGGCTGGCTGAGAAGGAAAGCTATGAAGAGACTTTCTGACAGCCAAACCATCCTGCGGCATTCATTATATTGTTTGTGGTAAGATTAAACATTCAAGAGTGAATGTCGATGGAGAATCTCAATCATCCAGGTCACTCACGGTTGTCCCAAAAATGCTTTTCCAAAAGGCAACTGTGTCAACTCATAAAATATTTCTCTGGTCTTTTAGAGTTGCCAACAGAAAGGGAGGGGTGTAGCAGCTTGCAAAATCAAAACTGCATTCCATGGATGTTTTCACAGATAGTTTCCAGGAGACCAAATGTTTCTGCTGCACAAAATTCTAACTGGAGAGCATGATTGATGACTCTTGGCTATGGATGCATCCCATTGGAGAATATGAATTATGATACACCCAGGGGGTGGGGGAAAACCAGGGTCAAGGGTGACAATATGTCTCAGAGCTGGCTACACCGAGGCAGCACCGGCATGTCTTCTCCTAATAAATATTCTTTGAGCTTTGAAAATCCGGCTAGAGACTGGTGATTTAAATGGGGATAACTACCGGAGCCCTGATAAACTAGACTTAATTTATTAATTTTTTCCCCACTTGAACTGAAGGCACTTCTTGGATAAGAAGTGAAACATTTTCAAGGGGAAAAACCCCCCAAGAATGTCTACTTGCCTTTTGGAAAAGCATCTTTGAGACATTCAAAGTATTTCAACCTAGTGCTACATCAGCCTCCCCCAACCTAGTGCAGGTAGTCCACATGTAGTGAGATGTTGGTGCCGAAGTATATGTCTGAAACAAAAGTGTTAGTTTTGAGGCTGACTCCTCTTGCCCTATGATCTCTTAAACCAGTGTTTCTCAACCTTGGTGACTTTTTAAGGCGAGTGGACTTCAACTCCCAGAATTCCCCCAGCCAGGCAGCTAAGTGTGGTGGCCTGTTGGCCACTGGCCCTTCCGGCAGCTGAATCAGATGAGGAGGTGGTGTGGGAGTCAGAGTCAGCATCAAGGCAACCTGAGAGCTGTGAGGGGGAAGAGGGAATGGAGCTGGCAGAGATAGAAACAGAGGCGGGGCCTGGGCCGTCCGTTAGCCCTCAGATGGAGAGGGAACAGCCCCCAGGTCTGGAGGTGGCTGATGAGGAAGAGGAGGAACAGCTGGGTCCAGTGCCTGATGTGTGGATGCGCAGAAGGCAGAGGAGAGGAGAGCAGTGGAAATCTATGGGCTGGTCCTTGGGACAGAAGAGCCACCACTGCTAGCGAAGCCCCACCCTTGCTCTGGGGACAAAAGGCAGGGGACGGAGATGAATAGATGCGGCAGACAACTATTCATCCCCTTGCCAGACAGATTTGTTAGCCTGCGTTGAGAGACAAACTTTTTGCCAGGACGGCTGGCGCTCCTAATAAAAGGAACATTTATTTAACTACAGAGGGGTTTGTCATGTTTCGGAGCTGGGTCAGAACACTATGCTTATGCTGGCTGGGGAATTCTGGGAGTGGAAGCTCACACACCTTAAAGTTGCCAAGACTGGGAAACATTGTTCTAACTTGGAAGTAGGGAGATCTTCTCATATTTCTACAGATTCCTGGAAATGGGCTTTGATATAAGATTAGAGCCAGAATGTACACAGATCTTTGATTTGTTTACTGTCTAGCTAATTCCCTTTAGGGCCAGGTGGAAAAGATGCCAGCAATCTACTTTGCTCCCAGCCCTGGTGGTCTCCAAGAGACGCTTGCCCAGTCTTGCTAATGGTTCTTGTGGTAGGAAGGCAGCATTCTTAAAGAGCCTTCAGCTTGGGAGGTCTGACAGGAGCTTAAAGTTTATTTTGCTATAAAGGCAGCCGAGAGAGGACATATGCATTGCCTCTGTTATCTGTTATCATGGCATCATTTGAAGCCAAGGAAATGTATACACACGCACTGCAAGATAATATAAACAGACTGATGCAATGGTTTTGAGCACCCTTCAGCATAATCCTGTTTCCTTTTATTTAGATGGAGTGCCTCCTCCTAAATTTTGAATGATCTTATTCTGGAGTCAGTGGAAAAGAGTGAGGCTAAGTCTGACCCCCTTACAACCAGCCGCAGTTCATTTCTTTAAAGAAAGTATTTAAACACAGTACAAATAACTCTTTTGGGAAAAAGAAAGAAAGAAAAATAATGCTATTACCTTGTAGCATTAAATATAAGCTTTCGGACTACACAACTGTATCAAAGTTATATTAAACACAACGGGCTTTAAAGGAGAAACCGAGCCGTCTGTCTATCTGTCCATCCATCTGCCCATCCCTCCATCCATCAAATATTGTGAAAACAACCTTTTCAACTTGAATTAACGAAAGGCCTATTCTTCTACAAATTCAGGCGGGAAGAAAAAGAAAAGCCCAACCTATATCCTGATTCACAAAGGCTGCTTAGATGAACCATCTGGATAGCTCTAAATACATGCTTAATTTGATGTTTTGGTGTCATTCTTTCGATAGCCAAAGGCCCTTGCTAATCGGCATAATTGTTCATTGACTTATCATTTGCTTATGCTGCTGCTCCAGCAGAAAACGCGATGTCCTCCCCTCTATTTCCCCATATTTCATATTTCTATTTCCCTCTGGCCAGAAAGCCTGGCAGCACAGTACATGCCTGGCAGTTACAGTTACAGTTTTACGCAAGACCTGCAATGAAATAATTTTTGTGCTTTTAGCGTGCAGGGGATAATGTTCTTAATGTTTTAGCGTGCAGGGGATAATCATTCGTTGCCCAACTAAAAGTTTTATTTCAGTAATGGGGAAATCTATTCCTTTCCATTTATTTTCTTTTTTTGAGTCATTGCCAACTCCTGGCGATTGCCTGGAAAAAAATCCCTGCGGTTTTCTTGATAAGATTTTGGAAATGCTTTGCCGTTGTCAGCTTCCTAGGGCTGAGAGAGAGGCGGCGGGATTGATCCAAGGCCATCCTAGTGCAGAGGTCAGCAACCCATGGCTCTGGAGCCACATGCGGCTCTTTGGGCCCTCTGCTGTGGCTCCCTGTTGGGTGATCTTACACTGGCTGGCCCGTCCCCTCGCCCTCCCCTCCCAGTCACTCCTCGCCTGGCCTGAGAAGGTAGAACACAAAAAACAGAAATGAAAGAGGGAGACACCCATTCCCCACAGAAAAGACAGGGAGCCATAGAACCTGGGTAGGCATGGCAGAAAGTCATGTGACTGGGTGGGAGTGATGTCATCAGAGTTAGCCACACCCACCCAGGTTTTGTGGCTCCCGGTGTTTTCTTTTCTGTGGAAAACGGGTCCAAATGGCTCTTTTGAGTGTTTAAGGTTGCAGACCCCTGTCCTAGTGGCCTTGTACCTAAGGCAGGAGTAGAACTCACGGTCTCCCAGTTTCTAGCCCAATGTTTCTCAAACTTGACTGACAGGTGGACATCAACTTCTCGAATTCCCTTGCCAGCGTGGACACTGCCTGTGTGAAATTCAACTCCAGGATGCTAGCTGGGGAATTCTGGGAGTTGAAGTCCACCTATCTAAAAGTCGTCCAGATTGCAAAAACATTGGACTAGAAACTGGGAGACTGAAATCTAGTCTTGCTAAGGCTGAAAAATGTTTCTATCTTGATGTCTTAGCTCAGTGGTGGAATTCAATTTTTTTTACTACCGGTTCTGTGGGTGTGGCTTATTTGGTGGGTGTGGCTTATGGTCATGTGACTGGGTGGGTATGGCTTAGTGTTCATGTGACTGGATGGCCGTGCTTGGTGGTCATGTGACTGGGTGGGCGTGACCAACTCAATGTCACTCACATCGAGGGGTGCCTCACCTGGCCCCTCCCCTCCCAGCCATTCCTTGTTACTCAGCCTCAACTTATCTATAGTTCTGTAAAAATGTTGTTCACCTTTTTTGACTATTATTTGCATACTATAGATGTACTTTCATGGACCACTGAAAGGAGGAAATGGCTCACATGCTTTACTCAAGAGTGTGATATAGGCAAGAAGCTTTTAAGGGGCTGACACAAAGAAAGGGGGACAATGTATTTTCCAAAGAAGCAGAAGGCAAACAAGAAGCAATGGATGGAAATTGAGCAGAGAGAAGCAACCTAAAACTAAGGAGAAACTTTCTGACAGTGAAAACAGTTAACCAGTGGAACTGCCTGTCTCCAGAAGTTCTGGGTACTCAATGATTGGAAGTTTTCAAGAAAAGACTGGACAGCCATTTCTCTGCAATGGTATAGGGTTCACCCCAAGGTCCCTTCTAAGTATTATTCTGGCACCTTTCCCAGGATTTCTACTCAGAGTTTGGCATCTTCAGTTTTCTTGCCTGAGCTGGGGGTTGGACTAGAAGACCTCCAAGGTCCCTTTCAATTCTTGTTAAACCCATGTGTATTTTATGCTCTGGACTATTGACATTGAATGCATGTAACCCTGAAAAATATGTGGTAGGCAAAAGAAAGGCACAAAAATCACTCTAGGTGTAGGGATAGTGTAAAATATGAACACATGATAAATAATGGAACAATTAAAAATAATAGCACAGAGTTTTATCTCTCTCTCTCTTCCTATTTTTTTCTTTCTTTCTCTACCTTCCTCTTTCTTTTCTCTCTCTCTCTCTCTCTCTCATACACACAAAGAGCACTTAACAGACAAGCATTTTGGAAGCAGCTCCTTTAAATTTCTCCAAGCCT